TTTTTTCACGCGTGTATGGACTTCATGTCTGTTCGTTTCTGAGTCTTGTAATAGATGTTCGAGGACTTCCCATGGAATTTAAATTCAGTATACCAATTAATGAGTATAAAAAGCTTTTAAAAGTTTTACTTATTTATATAAAAATCAACAAAAATCACAACCATTACAGTTATGGTCATTATCATCATAACAGCAATTGCTATCATTATCATCATCATCGTCGCAATCAATGCTTTCATCATCGCCATCACCTTAACGATCACAAAACTAACTTACTAAGTCGTTAACAAGGCAATCAATTAATTTTATTTTTTATTCGATTTTTAAATCATTATATTATTTCCCATGCTTTTTAAGCTTAAATCATTTTTACTTTTTGAACATTCTTTTCACATATTATTGAACATGTAACTTACTATAAGTCATTAACTAGTCATTTCATTAATTATTTTCTAGTGATTTTAATTAGATTTTTAATTTTGTTAATATTTCCTATTGAATTTCTTGCAACTAAATAATTTATAACAAATATGAAAAAATGGTATTTAACGCAAATAATTTGTTTTATATGAATATTTTTAAAATTAAATATAATTTTATTTTTTCTATTGGTATAAATTAAACACGACCAAAAATCGGCAGGTGATAAAATCTAACACAAAACGTAAATCGTGCTCCAGCTAATCATTGTAGTGGTATTTACATATTTATTTTATTCATATTTAATAAAATATGATTTAAATGAATTTATTTCAACCATAGTTAAGTAGTTGAGTGCATGTATGTGTGTTTGTCCGTGTGTGTGTGTGTGTGTGTTGCTTGATATATTGATATAGTATGATAAACATAGAAAACATACATTAAAAAAATTAAATTAAAAAAATTCGTACATGAAATATCGAGATAATCAAAATTAAAACATTCAAATAATGTTGCTAATTACAATGAATAAAATAAACAATGTTAAAATGATATTAACTACCAAAGAACACGTGTGTTTGTTGTTGTTGCATGTTGAGACTTGTTTGCTGGTCTTTGATCTCTCTTTGCTTGCTGAAGCATGATTGAGATGGCGATTGGACTTTTTGCGACTAGTTGTTGCCACAGCCTCAGAATAATAACTGCACGGTGGCACGCATTTTTTAGAATTTTCAGCAAACCGCTTGTGGTACCAGCAAATATTTCTTAGAACAGCTTCATCGTGTGACAGGCTTCGCTCACAACGTCCACAAATTTGTTCGGCAAGTTTTGGTACGGCGTCGCGTGACTTTTTGTTATTGCAATCATGCAACTGGTTGACAACAGCTGCTAATTGATGCAGTGAGTCGTTCAATGATCCTGCGCTAGTTGACTTTGTTAAATGTTCCACTGACTTTTTCTGCGAAAAAGAATATTTATTAATTAAATTCTCCTTCAATACATTGTACGTAGTTGCGGAGACGATTTCATCCTCTATTTCTTCGATCGTCTCCAACGATAAACTTTCTAACAAGAGTTGGTGAAAAACTTTTTTGTCGCTGATTCCCCGACATCGTAGCACGCTCTCAAAATAGATGAACCACGCCTCTACGAGCGTCGTGCTGAAAGGATTGAGTCGCAGCGGCATTGTTGTGTCTGAAGCGCCTGTTTTCTTCTTTTCAAGGCGAGAGCTGCATTTGACGAGTTTGTCCTTCATAATGTCTTTTTTTTCTTGGCAGAGATCAAATTTTGCTGACATTTTAACAAATAAACACGTGCTCCAACAAGATTTATTCACTAAAGAAACACACAGCCAACAAGGACGATGAAACGAAGAGTACTGTTCTAATTGCCCCTTAAAACACTAATCTAGCGCATAGATATTAAAATAGGGATGGGCGGTATTTCTGTATAAATATATTTTGCTTGAGAATAAGCGATTCGATCCCATACAATAATAATAAGGAAAATAAATATATATTAACAGTGTCAATAATAATTTATCTTAATAAATAATTAATAAGTACGGTTGCGCATATATGCGATGAGAAAAACAACTTTAACGCACAAGAAATCACGTCAACTTGAAGGAACTATAATGTAAATACAAATTAATAACTTGAATAATAATCGTATTGAGCAACGAAAAGGTTTCTGCAAAATTGAATATTGCAAAGTAATAAACAAATTTTAGAAACCAATTACCATTTTTTTCACGCGTGTATGGACTTCATGTCTGTTCGTTTCTGAGTCTTGTAATAGATGTTCGAGGACTTCCCATGGAATTTAAATTCAGTATACCAATTAATGAGTATAAAAAGCTTTTAAAAGTTTTACTTATTTATATAAAAATCAACAAAAATCACAACCATTACAGTTATGGTCATTATCATCATAACAGCAATTGCTATCATTATCATCATCATCGTCGCAATCAATGCTTTCATCATCGCCATCACCTTAACGATCACAAAACTAACTA